TTTTGTTTTAGACACTGAAAAATGAGGCTAAGTGAGCTCAAATCAAAGTGTAACTTTTCTACACCGTTTGTGTTCAAGTTTTACTCCTTCGCCTGTCAAGAAATCAGCAACGACTCGAATGCAGCAAACCATCACAAATCTGCCCTGGGTGCTACCAAAGAAAACAACACTGTGGAGACTTCAGTCTGACAGACGGCTTCACGCAGACACTTTCAGCACGCTTGTGGCTGCCATCAATGCTCCCTAAAGGGCTGTAAAAGAGGCTGAGCGAATGGTGCCATTCAAAATACTTTGTATTTCACATATAACAACAACAGTCGAACACAGGAAGAAAAGGAAAATGTCCCATAAAGAGAAGACCATGCCAGCCACATATTCTGATCTGATTGTACAAGTCTCCTTAAAGTGACACTAAACTCAGGAGTTAAAGGAGAACTATGAGATGAGTGATTTCCACTCACCTCATAGTTCTAAGCCGACCTGTGACAATGAGACTGTCACAGGTCGGCTCAGTAGATCGGGAGGTGAGGGAAAACATACCGGGTTCACTCACCTCTCGATCCTGTCACTGCTCTCTGCCGTGACAGGGGGAGGGGCTGGATTCCCCTCTCCCCGCTCCGATCTGCCAGCGCTGACTGGCGGAACGGACGGGGGAGCTGTAGCTCGCGGTATACTGAGCTTAGGGTGACGGGAGGACGCTAGTTTGTGTCCTCCCGTTACCCCAAGGAGAACTATGGGGAAAAACACTGACCCCATAGTTCTCCTTTAAATCTTAAAAATACATTCAAGTATCTTAACTAATAAAACAAATGTATCTTATTTGTGTATTACTTGGCTGCAGATCCTCAAATCATCTCTGAATTGGTGCTGACACTGTCCTTCCTTCTGGAGGGTGGCTACTTTTCTTCCCCATGCTCCCTGTGTGTGTTGTAAAGTAGTCACCGCTCCAAGCTCTCTCCTGTGATGTGCTACAATCTCAATACCAATTGGTAAACTAAAAGTGAGATTGTAGTCCATCACAGGAGCGAGCTTGGAGTGGTGGCTACTTTACAACACACACAGGGACCATGGGAAACAAAATTAGTTACTTAAATACATTTTCTAAATTTAACTCCTGGGTTTAGTGTCACTTTAACGGACTGCAGTAGTGAAAGCTCATACATGTAAAAAAAAAATGTACACACTCCATCCAAAACTAGAAAAAAAAAGTGTATTAATTTGTGTATTACTCGGCTGTAGATACTCAAATCATCTCTGAATTGGTGCTGACACTGTCCTTCCTTCTGGAGGGGGGCTACTTTTGTTCCCCATGGTCCCAGTGTGTGTTGTAAAGTAGCCACCGCTCCAAGCTTGCTCCTTTGAAGGGACTACAATCTCACATTTAGTTTACTAATTTGTAGTCCATCACAGGAGCGAGCTTGGTGACTACTTTACAGCACACACAGGGACCGTGGGGAACAAAAGTAGCCCCCCTCCAGAAGGAAGGACAGTCTCAGCACCAATTCAGAGATGATTTGAGCATCTACAGCCCAGTGATACACAAATAAGACACATCTTTGTTAATAATTAAGGTACTTAAATGCATTTTTAAGATTTAACTCCTGAGCTTAGAGACACTTTAATGCCCCCAAAATTAAAACCTAATTCAACTTTTAGCTAAATACATTACAGGTGAATTAAAAACAAGCTTGTGAAGAGAAATACTTATGATTGATGTTGGCATACACTGAAGGATGTGGTCAGCCATCGATGACAAGATCTAAAGATTCTCAATCTGGCACAGTATTTGTCATATATTACCTGCCCCATATATAGAACCTGTAATAACCGTCCTGTATCTAAAACAGGACAAGTACACCCACCTAAAACATGTGTTTTGCATCCTTAAGAAGCTGACAATCTGTTCATTTTCAGACTTATCTGAGATTGTCTAAGTCAGCGCAGTGTTTTTGCATCAGATACTGCGCGGTATCAATTGGAGACGTGGTTGTTTAACATCAGCTCCAACCCCCCTAATGAAATCAGATGGCTTGACCCCTCGCATCCTCCTGGACTTCAAAAGCCAGGACAGAACATTGAGAAGCTTACTCCACCAATCCAGCATAGATCAATCGCCGGAATGAAACACCGTGCCTGAACACATTACTGGAGCACAAGACTCAGGCATGAAGGCTTCACTTCAAATAAAACAAGACAGTGCAAAAGAAGATTCACTACTGCAGACAGATAACAGGACTAGCCCCGTTGTCACTGGTTGTAGGAAATTGATATTTTATAAGACATTAGGCAACAGAATTCTCCAGTCTTCTGATACTGGAGCCAAAGGTCTCTAATCCGGAATCTCTATAGGGTTAGTCCACTCAAGATTTCAGTTACTAGAGGAAATTGCACCTCAATCTCTCCTGCCGTAATATCTCCATGATGCAGTTCCTGTCCAACTGGAAGTTTTTGAGTAACTCTGCTTACCATCGGGTCTCCTGCTTTTACTTTCAAATTCTCCATAAGAGAAAATATATTAAAAATCAAACAGGGAGCCTCTGAAAGTGGCTACTTCAAAAACTTGTACAGGTGTAAGAAAAGGTTTAACTCCTCAGCATCCACCAAAAAACAACATTAGTTTGAGGTAGAATGACTCTTAAGGTGGAACTCCATCCAAAGCTTTGTATAAGGTTTAGAGTGGGCTACAAACCATGCCAGGATGTCATTGCTGTGCTTGTCCGAGCTGCACCTAGCTCCTTTTGCGCCTGAGGCAAGAACAAAAAAAACTGCCCCCCAACAGGCGTGTGATGTCACCCAGTGCCGCACGGTGTCATGCGATGTCATGCGCCCCGCCTCCAGGATGTGTTTTTTTATTTATTTTTTATTATTTCATTTTTATTATTTGTAATATTTTTACTGTTGGGAGGGTTTTGGGGAAAAAATAGGGGTCTAAACAGCCCCCTGATATTTCCTTTTTTAAATAGAAAAAGAAATTGACACAATGTCTTCAATCTCATTTTCTGCAGACTCTGCTCTAAATGAATGGAAAGAACAGAGGCTTCCCATTCATTCAGAAAATATTTACTATCATCCAGTTTCTGAATGGGGAGAAGCCTCTGTACTGAGTGCTACTACCCATTCAGAAACTCGTGAATGAACAGAAAGTGATGTAAAGCACTTCCTGTTCATTCATAACTTGGGACACATAGTACTATGTGTCCCCAGTTATTTACAAACACTGGAGTGATCATCTGATCGCTCCAGTGTTTGCTTTGCACACACAGGATCGGTACATATCACTGATATGTACCGATCTTCCCCCGCTCAGCAACGCACAGAGGGGCGGCACAGACTGCTGCTTTTCCTCTGGATCCCCACTGCTCTCCCCCGCCTGTATGGGCAGAGGCAGCAGTGATCTGAGGAGAAGTGAAGCGCTGGTCGGAGGAGGGAGCCGCTGTCACAGCAGCATGGCTGTGCGGTGATGAGAGAGAGAGCCACCGGCTGTCAGACCCTGGCCAAGCAGTTCTCTCTCCTCACCGCTCGGCCATGCTGCTGTGACAGCGGCTACCAAGCCCCCCTGCGGCGGAATCGCTCAAAGCAGTCCCAGCACAAAGACAAGGGAAAAAACATCTTGCTTTGTGTAGGACCTGTTGACTGGTGTGAACAAGCCCTTAAACTGCATCTCTAAACAAAACCTTTTTACATTGTTAATAGTGTAAGGAATGGTTACAACCCATGTTAGGTTTTTTGGTGCTGTGTACTGGGGAGATTCTCCTTCACTACTTGTGTCTCCAAGTAAAAAGAAAACCCGACAGGGGTTTTAACAATTGTGTACTCAGTCCAAACTAAAGAAGAAAAAAATGGCTATAGATGCACTTTGGGGTGTATCCATAAAACATTTGCAGACCAAGCAACTTTGTGAACAACTGATTTTTAGATTTGCAGCACAACTTGGCCACTAGATGTAGCCGAGGAGCATAGGAAATTCCTATGCTCCTTAGCTTCTTTAAGTGGCCATAATGCCATGAAAATCTAAAACTCATATGTTCGCAGAGCTATTTGCTCTGCAAACATTTGGTAAATACACCCTTTTATGCCCCAAGCATTACGAATTACATAAAATCAGTCAACTTTGTGACTGTAGTCTGTCTATGGGGGGGGGCAATGTCTGATGACACAGGCCTGACACAGACCTCACATCTGCATACAGCATATTGGTCAAATTATCCCCATGCCTGGCATTTATTTCTACAGAACACAGTACACAGCCTAGACTCCGTATTAGGACATGTATGGAAGCCAGAAAGAGGATGTTCATTCCCATCCATACATCTAGGCCTAATCCTCCCAGCTTATCCTATATCCAGAGAGTGCTGGGCACAGCATCTGGTAGGAGCATGGACACATGGAGTGACTCTTCAACATCTGAAAGCATTAAGAGGGAAATGGTTGTCAGCACTACAAGGGATCGGTTCTGATGGTGATAAGCTTTAAACAGTTTGCTGGATTCTAATTTAATTTATAAGGCACAGTATTTACCAGTGCTGGCACACATGTGGCATACCACATCAACCAATTAGATTCAAGGGTTTGTTGAAATGACAAGGCATTGACAGCTATAAAATCACTGTCAGAAGTTCTAACCATCTCTTCATCCTTTTGTGAATAGCCCTTTTAGTGTTGTTGAGTTCAAATTATATAATAAAATGTATTCTTGCTACAGTACCAATATTATTTTTTTAAACTAAAGGGTGTTTGGATTTCATAAAATATTAAAATTATTTTTGGCGAGACAATCAAAAGAAAGATTTGTCATATAACAAAAACCCCATATATGTATTACTCTGTTTTAAAAAAAAGTAATGGCAAAAGGTATTGCCGTATAAAACAGGTCCAGAGCAGAAATGTAGAAATTGTTCTAGTCCATATGGGGTGTACAGGTAGGAGAGCTGAACAGGTTAAACAATAAATATTCACGTGTTTTAAAATCTACAAAACGTCACATTTTCGAGTGAACTCACCTATAACAATGAGCGTGTAATTCACATTGACACTTCCAAAGCCATTGGTTGCCTTACAGATGTAGCTTCCAGCATCCTCCTTTTCAACATCCTTAATTTTCAGCCCAAGCACGTAAGTCCTAAACCTCGTCCAGCCGCTATGGATTGAACGTCCATCTTTCATCCACATTGTAAGCGGCGGAGGGTCACCCTCTACCGGGCAGAGAAGCTTTATAGTCCTTCCCAATCTTACAGTTTGCCGGTGAATCACTTTATCTGAAATGCGTGGAGGACCTAAAAAAAAAAATGAACACATTAATGTAGATGATATCAATCTGACAATGAATTATTGCTATATATTCAATACATTACTGATATATATATATATATATATATATACACACATATACACACACACACACACACACACACACACACACATATTTTAGTAGGCCCTTTAGTAACCCTGCAAGTCTTAATTATTACATTCCTAACATGTCACAATATAGAGCAACGCTATAATTTAGAAAAAAAAACACACTGTAGTGACTTTGCCTATGCTGCAATGTCATTAGTCTGCTGCAGGCAGGAGGAAACATTTACTCCGTCTACTCTGCCCCAATGAATCAGACTGCAACACTGTAACTTAGTGGCAAGTCACAAAGTGAGAGGCCGCAGCAGGGGCTGATCGGTGTAGAACAACACCGGCATCAAGATTTACATAAAGTGGACCTTCACCCATATCTTCAAAATAATATACACACCTTTAGAAATGTTTGGTAATTACATTCCACACACAGATACGTCTAGATAATTGTCGGCTTTGTATTCTTTGCATATCTTATTTCTTTTTTCTTCCCCAGTCTTCTGGCAGTGGCCATGTTTACTAAGGGCAGCTTACTAGCTCTCCTTTTACTTCTTAGTTTCCGGCACATGTGACTAGTCATGTGACCATGCATATCATCTCAGGGGAGGAAAATGACTTTCCCCCTGAGATCTCATGAGATTACAGATGAGATTTCCCAGCAATGCTCTGCTGATGACCAGGCAATCCCAGTGTGCATTGCTTTGGCAAACTGAAGTCATTTTGCACTTTCAAAGTAGGAAGTGAATGCTCTCCGAGTGTAAGTATTTCAGTCACAGCATTTTACACCTGACATGTCTATGTTATATTAATCATCCTACATAGAGGGATGCATTGGTAAAAATTGGATTTTTGAGTGTAAAGGTCTACTTTAGCGGGTCATTAAATCCTTAAGCTTTAAAACTTAATATAACAGTATAACTCACATGGTTGCTGGATTATGGTCTAGTTTCTCAAAGGTGCAAAAGCATAAATAGAAGAACATAGCCAGTATACTTGGGATTATAAGGTGACTTCTCTGTCTTGCATGGTCTCCCTGGAGCCACCCTGTACCCTTCTGACCTTAGGTGTACAGTATATGGTCCAGCCCAACAATGTCCATACATTGGGGTCCATGCAATCATTGTCACTCGCTATCAGATTCTCCATTTGCATAATAATGTTTTTTATGGAGGTCTGGGTAGACAAAGATGGTGTCTCTGTAGACTTCCAATATCTAGATATTTTGGCTTGAGTCACATTAGGAAGTGCCTAAATATGTCATATTTAATGTGTTTCATGGATCAAGGGAACTACGAACAGTACTGCAATTTCAGGTGATCCAGTAATGGTTGCAGACTGCATTTTGCTGTAAACTATGAATACTTAAAAGGCTCTATTCACTTACAACTACACTATATATTGAGGTGTGATTGTTTACATTAACAGCAAATAAGAGGAGCTGTAGAGTAACAGGGCATCTATACAAGGGACAAACTATTTTATAGTTCTTCTCCTGGAAATGATTAGGTCTGGAGAAAGTGAAAGTCAACATGAAAGCTTTGACCACTCCTTCAAGAAGTCTCTCCCAATGTCCTTCCATCATTCTGCTATAGGTGGAACCATCCATCCCTCCCTTGTCTCAGCCAAGTAGCGCTGCTCAGACTATGTTTTGACTTACGGTAGTCCCCTTTGCTGGCCAGCAGACTGGATTGACGGGGAATTTTTATACTGCTCTTATTTTTTGCTTTGTAGATGTTTTATTTATTTTATCGATATAATTTTAGACATTCGTCAGCGCTGAGGCAGCAAACTGCCTGAACATGAATTCGGACACTTCATGTGGTTTTCATAGTGCGATGCGCCTACGCTGCACTCTGTGGAAATGCGATACACCTTGTTTAAGCATGTTTGCTGCATCGCTGCCCTTTGGCTGCCTACTGTCTTTCACACATCAGAACCCACTGGCACCGGTCCCCAACCAAGATTACAGATGGACGCTTTGTGACACGGCAAAAATTTTCTTTTTTTTTAAATGGACAGTTTAGGAAGATTAATTTATAGGTGGCTTATTTTCAAACATCAATTACATCGTCAATCCCAATCAAGCAAACTCTACCTCACCTTCTGGTTGAATATAAAAAAAATTGAGGAAATAAAAGTGAATAGTTTCTCATAGCACTTATTTATGTGTTATTTTCCTTGTGTGGGAAAAATTAAATCCAGCACCTAGTAGGCTATACCTGGTGTAATGTGAACATAAATGTATGTATGTATTCTTATACCGCAAGGGTGCTCAATATCTGGATCTTTCAGGTCTACTATTCAACTCTGTTCAGGTTGCCCAACATATATTTCCTTACATACTCGAAAAGTACCCATAAAAAGAAGATGTCCACGCTTAAATGGTTATAAATGGTGAGAACAGGAAAATAAGATATACCAGTGGCCTTTGGTTTATAATGGTTCCATTTGCACTGATTCAAAATGGCACCCTTTTCTGGGAGTGTTGTAAATTGAAACCAAATATATAATAAATGTCAATGGGAAGTGAGGGGGTTAGGGTACCATTAAGTCAACATAATTACCCGCGGATGTGTGTGAGGGGGTTAGGGTACCATTAAGTCAACATAATTACCCGCGGATGTGTGTATTTTAATGCAGCGGCTTTGATATTGTACAACAGACTGATGAAATAAATATTTTTGTATTTATTATTTCTATATTACTCCAATAAAAAAGGATGTATTCATTAAGCAGCAAATGATAGATTTGTGTTGCCGCTGGCCATTCAATAGAAAAGTCACCACTGATATCAGCGTGATTATTAGAGCCTGTGCTTCTCAAGTGTTGACACAAGTTTGTGACACGTTCGGCAAGCACTTGTCAGGCTTTCTTGAAGCCTGTCAGCAACTAGCTATGTTAACAATTCCTCAGAAAAATCAACATCGGATACTTCTAAAATGCTTTCCAAATGTTGTACAAACGTCTGGGAAGTGTTTCCATGGACTCGTAGGCCAGGCGTTAGGAAGTGTCCATAGGCTTCAACACCTACCTAAAGTTGTCTCAAACGCAAATGTGTACTAACACATATACTTGAACCTTTTAGATTAAACAATGCATTTGGCAAGCATTTCATTGCCTCCTTCACCAGGTGATATTGCTTACACGTTGGGTTGACCAAGTCTCTTTCGCTATAAAACACTGCAGTCTAACCAAAGAAGCTTTTAATAGTGGTTTTCAATAGTGTGGGGAAGACTTAAATATTCAGGTCAGGTCTTTATTTCTGCCTGCGATGTCACTGGGGAGATTTTCACTCATATTCTGTATCTGTAACACATGTGATAGAAATGAAGGATGTAGGGGTCACCAAGACAGGTAGACAGAAGGCACAGGCAACAATAAAACATTGTCGGAAGTTCTAACTTTTCTTCATTGTAATAAAGATGTGTTGTTTTTTTGTCAGTGTCCCCAATGAAGAGATTTCCCATCACTTTCTGGAGAGATAGTGAGGGAAAGCTTCCCCAAAAAGGCACAACGTCAGCAATAAACCTGCTCTACCTAAAACTAAATGGAAGTTTTGGCTGAAGTTGAGCTTTAAGGGCCCATTCACACCACGGTAGGTGTGTTACTCGGTACCATGCGATTAACTCACAGGTTTGGTGTGAACAGGCCCTAAAGATGAAATTTAACCAGCTCTCCAATGCTACCGAGATGTGGGGAGAGAGGGAGGTGTTCTATTGCCGTGTTCTAGCCTGACAACCCTGTTCCGCTTAGATATAGCACGGTGAATGAGCAGTATCATCTTAGGACTTGAAGTGTTTTCATAGCAGGATCACTAGATAAAAATAAAAGGAAAAGAAAACCTGAAAACCTGCTACCACATCTAAAGACTGGTAAGATGCAATATATTATGTTTTTGTTCCTGAGTTTAGATACGCTTTAAATAATTCAATACGTAGTTAAATGTTTCTGGTTATCCAGTGGTAGTGGTAGTTCCAGCTTCACAGAGCATGACCTAACAGTTGACTACTGTAACAATTACTAATAAATGAAGTCAGCGACCGCACAATATTTAATTATTGCAAACATGTCCTTGTTTAGACTAAATTAACACTTTTAACATAAATAATTTAGCTGGACAGCCTGCATACAAACGTGCCAATGTATTGAGATCTGTGAGGGGTAAGCAACTGCACTGTCGATTCCTCGAACAGAAAAAAACAGTTTGGACTGTCCACCTGTCTCCCTGAACAGCTGGGTGGTTTCAATGTATATTCCCACTGTGAATTTTAATGGGTCCTCCCGGAAATTGCAATCCTTGCCAATGCAAACACAAACTCCCCGAACACATAGAAGGGGTGTTTGATGCTATAGTGGCAAGTGATGAAGATACTGTATATCAAAGCATAGCTAGGGTCATGTGCAGCTCTGTATTTCATTGCTGTGTGTGTTCTGTTATATTTACGTTACAAGAGGTTCTATTTAGTGGGTAAAAGTTTATGACAGTTACAAGGGTGCAGAATAATAGTATTATTTAATACAGGGGGTATATTCTATAACAAATGCCGGATAACTGCACTGTGACACTTAACTTTTGTTAGCATTTTTATGCGTTTCTCCTTTTAATCATTTCAGTGCTTTGCCCTTTACTAGCTGCTAATAATTCTCAATGGCAGCTGAGAGGTTGTGTTATCGAATTTAAGAATATGTTCACTTATTCTTTCTGCCCCTCTGTGCTGACATTACAGAGCCCACCCTACCCCTCCGCAGATTTATACTTACCGAGATCTGACACCGAAGGACTCCAAGGATTGTTTTCATCCAGTGCCAAAGTCCTTTCACTGCTGGCTGTACATGTGCAGTAGAGCCCCATAGACTTCTATAGGGCTCATCTATCTTTGGACCCCGGCTGGGAAACGCAGGGGTACAAGGCCTATGAACAGGACTG